ACAATCCAACATATTTGAACTAGCATGCTCTCCCAAGACGATCCAACATATTTAAACTAGCGTGCTCTCCCAAGACAATCCAACATATTTGAACTAGCATGCTCTCCCGAAACAATCCAACATATTTGAACTAGCATGCTCTCCCAAGACGATCCAACATATTTAAACTAGCGTGCACTCCCGAAACAATCCAACATATTTGAACTAGCGTGCACTCCCGAAACAATCCAACATATTTGAACTAGTGTGCTCTCCTGAAACAACCCAACATATTTGAACTAGCGTGCACTCCCGAAACAATCCAACATATTCTAACTAGACCGCTCTCCCAAGACAATCCAACATATTTGAACTAGCGTGCTTTTTCGAAACAAACCAACATATTTGAACTAGCGTGCTCTCCCAAGACAATCCAATATATTTTAACTAGCGTGCTCTCCCAAGACAATCCAACATATTCTAACTAGACCGCTCTCCCAAGACAATCCAACATATTTGAACTAGCGTGCTCTCCCAAAACAATCCAACATATTTGAACTAGCGTGCTCTCCCAAGACAATCCAACATATTCTAACTAGACCGCTTTTCCACGACAATCCAACATATTCTAGCTAGACCGCTCTCCCAAGACAATCCAACATATTTGAACTAGCGTGCTCTCCCAAGACAATCCAACATATTTGAACTAGCGTGCTCTCCCAAGACAACCCAACATATTCTAACTAGACCGTTCTCCCACGACAATCCAACAGAAATGTTTACCAAAGATATTCACGTCTACTTGTTCGCCGTCACCGGCTGTAATTTCATGAGGAAAGTTCTGGTTTTTCGTCCACTTCTGGACTTTAGTCTTATTCAGGAACTTGAAATTTGCTTGCACATCCGTTTTACCTATCTGACTCTTCAAATGCAGTTTGTTAATTCCTTATATCTCACACAATCGCACTCAGACATCTAAGAAAGCATCTATGGCAAGCCGTGTTTTACGACAAGGGTATTGGGGAGTGGTGGGGAAACGTCGGGGAGGTGGGTGTGGGTGGTAGTGGATCTATTTTCTCCCCCCCCCCCTTCCACCGCCCGGTGGGACCCAGAACCTATATGTAGATTTAATGGAAGTAAAGGTGGCTGCTACGATGTTGACTACATCTTTCCCCGAGATTAATCAATACAAAAAGGCTTCGATATCTGGAGTGTTTTTCTGCTTTATCTGTCAAGCTACTTGCTTTCAATTACAGGGGATGCAACCCAATAGTAGGAACCGGCTCGTCTGTTGTCTCCCCTACTTTATGTGGCTATCTTCTCCTTCTGCGTCTACCATTACAGGAGCAGTAAACACGATCTGTTGTGGTTTACAGCCAGGTTGAGATATCGGCGCCCTTCAGCTCAGCACATCAGATTCAAGCCAACCCCTATTTAATAACGGTTTACGACATGCCTTTTAGGGGGTTGTTTGTTCCCTGTCGCTCCCTCCTCCAACATAAGTCCCTTAAACAGACAGACAGACAGACAGACAGACAGACAGACAGACAGACAGACAGACAGACAGACAGACAGACAGACAGACAGACAGACAGACAGACAGACAGACAGACAGACAGACAGACAGACAGACAGACAGACAGACAGACAGACAGACAGACAGACAGACAGACAGACAGACAGACAGACAGACAGATAGATAGATAGATAGATAGATAGATAGATAGATAGATAGATAGATAGATAGATAGATAGATAGATAGATAGATAGATAGATAGATAGATAGATAGATAGATAGATAGATAGATAGATAGATAGATAGATAGATAGATAGATAGATAGATAGATAGATAGATAGATAGATAGATAGATAGATAGATAGATAGATAGATAGATCGATAGATAGATAGATAGATAGATAGCTAGATCGATAGATAGATAGATCGCTAGATAGATAGATAGATAGATAGATAGATAGATTAGATAGATAATCTAGATAGATAGATCGATAGATAGATAGATAGATAGATAGATAGATAGATAGATAGATAGATAGATAGATAGATAGATAGATAGATAGATAGATAGATAGATAGATAGATAGATAGATAGATAGATAGATAGATAGATAGACAGGCATACAGATTAGTAAGGTTGCCAGAAAAACTACATGTACGAGATTAAACGACAAGCATACACATGGTGACATCTGACACACCCAGTCTTCGTGTATTCTTGCGAGACCACACAGTTGCCTGCCTTTAGTTTTTATTTACCTCGTATTTACAACTTTTATTCGTAAACTAAGTGTAGGAGAGAAAAAAATGCGGGGGGGGGGGGGGGGGGGGGGGTCCTTAAACCTGAGGGTTTAGAGAAGCCTGGCTAAATCAGTTGTCACGGACTGTGCATGTGAGGGTTTTGTTTGCCCCGAAAAAAAAAATCCCAATCGTAACGGAGTTCCAAACCTGGGTCTTCTGCGTGAGCGTCCAATGTTCTTAACCGTTCTACTGACACAGGTCTACATAGGCCTAAACAGGTCTACATAGCTCTACAATTGTCTACATAGGCCGACATAGGTCTACATAGCTCTACATAGCTCTACAATTGTCTACACAGGTCTACATAGCTCTACAATTGTCTACATAGCTCTACATAGCTCTAAATAGGCCGACATAGGTCTACATAGGTCTACATAGATGGTGTTCCAAAGGGGTCACCCATCCAACGTTGCTTGGATTCAGAAAATGGTATTCTCCACGTGGTATGGCCATAGACGAACTGCTAACACTTCAAAGATAATTCTGATAATAAAAGTACTTCCAGAGATCCCCCTTGAGAAGTTACAGTTTGTGTGTGTGTGTGTGTGTGTGTGTGTGTGTGTTTCAGCTGTGTTCTGCGTGCTTCAGTCGCGATGGTCAAAAAGTGACAGTGAGACTTTGCATGTGACGTACTTCTATTGTACGTTGAGTCTTCAACTGAATAACCAGTTGCCAGTTTTACTTTAAAAAATCCCTAGCGAAATTACCATCATCATGTGCTATGATTGTTAGCGTGGATGGTCAGGTATTCCTCACTTCACACATTGACCACCACTCTCCGCCATTAGGTCTATACCATGTGGTCAAGCCATCGGCGATGCTTTAAATGGTGACCGTAGGAGACGGATATATGACCAGATTGTGACCGGTACCATCAGTACTGGAACTCTGCGCTATCTGCTGAAGACGAGGACGGATCATGCATGGGAATGCCCAGAGTGTTGTGATGGCAATTTTTGACTCAACTCAACTCACTCAAGTAGTCTTCTTCTTCTTCTTCTTCTTCTCTTCCACCTTGTACCTCACCCGTTGTAACGTTTTAGTGTGGCTCGCTGTGGCAGATAGTACCCGGGCATTCTTGTTAGGTGTCCAAACCACTTCATTTGTTGTTCTTTGATGACCTGTAAGACTGGCTTTATTCCTACCATTCGTCTGATTTCATGATTTCGTATTCTGTCTTTCCTTGAAACTCCTGCAGCTCTTCTAAGGCATTTCATCTCTGTTGTCACAATTTTACGTTCATTAGAGGATGTAAGTGTTCACGTTTGGCATTGATAGCATAGTGTTGGGCAAAAAATAGTTTTGATAAGATTCACTTTAGTACTTCAAGGTATCTTCAAGTAGTAATTGCTGTTGAAAAAAAAAAAGTGCTCTCCTTGACTAAACCGCCACTGAAAAGCAGACAAGTAACTGGAAGCAGGTCATGACTTGTTCCATTTTGATACTCTAATTTACTCCTCGCGTGCATCAACCAGTAGTCCCTCTATAGCAGGGTTATTCAAATAAATTTACGCAGGGACCAAAATGCTGAACATGGGGATTGTTACCGACCGGAGAGCCGAGTCCAGCATAAAAAGATCATTAATACATGACAGCTGGCAATAATCCACGGGCCACTTACTAGGCTTCCGCGGGCCAGATTTGACCAGTTAAATAGCACTGTTCTATAGTCTGTGTGTGGATATCTACAATAGCGACTACAGGAGACGCAATTCGCTGTAAACAAACAATGGATTGCGCCCCCTAGAGTCGCTGTTTCAAGTATTGTCAAGCCATCCAGGTAATTATCACATTATCGGCTCTTGCGCCCCCCCCCCCCCTAACCCACACACAAAATATAAAGTTCTTTGCGAAGTATTCAGTTTTCGAAAACCGTATAAGTATACATTTATTTTTATCCTCGTGTGGATTCTGGGACCCTATTCTGGGCTAAACAAAAATAGACCCACTGCCTGCGCAAAAGTATGTCGTAAGAGTCGACTAATTGGGAGCTTCCTTTTCCTCTTCTTTTTCTTTCTCCATATGTATTTTACTTTCTTCTTCTTCTCCTCCTCTTCTTCTTCTCTTCTGTTCTTCTCCCTCTCAACTTTTTCATCTTATTCTCCTTTTCTCCCTCTTTTCATCGTGTTCTTTCTGCATTCACATTTAAACTAACAGCTACAATGCTAAGCTGTAGCCTGGACAGTTTTGCACCAGCACACGGAAGAACATCTCTGCCGGAAACGACTGGCACTAGATGAGACAGAAGGATGTGTTAAGTGGACTAATCTTTCATCCAGGTGACTTGACCACAGATTATGACTCTGTGCCGACGACAACACATACTTCTACACACTATAGGCACTGTTAAATCAATAGAGACTACTACTAAGCCTACCCCCCCCCCCCCCGTACTATGGGAGGGTCTGGAGATTTTCCTACCATATCTGGAAGCCGGCCTGATGTGGTGAAAAACCGGAAAAGAACCAATTTTTTTGGCAAATATTCAAATAAGACCCTGTCTTATTCTATATAATTCCAGAGACACCAGTGGCCGCCTGCTGTACATTCTCACAGTACCTAGTCTCCAATGTGAAGACCGCACACGTGTTAAATTTAAATAATTTTCTAGGCAATAGTAAAGAAGGTTAAATGCTATTTTTTTTCCTTCTTTATAATGACCGTACTGGTCAGTGACCGTAACCACTGCCTCTATAAACCTGTCAATACACTCCCTTTACGTGCAGTTTGCTAAACTCTGTTCCGTTTTCCCAGACCATTGCAATGAGGCCAACCTGCCATGCGGCTGTGGATCCGTCTACACCAGAAACTGCCTGGGCAAAGTTTACTATTTGTCCGGTAACTTCCCAAGTTACATTATTTTCATTGTGATTCTTATCGCTGAGTTTGGTTTTCAACAGAAGAGCAGCATTTGTCGTGGAGTCAGTTTCAATAGCGACGAGAAGCGCAGACCCGTTTGTGTCTGTTCCTCCAAAGATGAGTATATCTTCTAGGGAAGACGGTGTAAGCCGAGTTATTGCCAGTTTGGATGTTATTTGGTCAATGTTAGCCAAACGTGCTGCAAGAAAAAAATGGTTAAACTATGGGGGTGACTGCAGTCAAGCTAATACAATGAATTCCAGAGAAATTTGACTAAAAAGCTCAACAAAATGGGAAAGAGGAAAACGTGCACAAAACAACAAAACGTAACGTTTCGGCTGGGCAGCCTTTTTCAAACACAAGTGAAAGACACAAACGAGGAATGGAGAGTATGTAGATCTCTAAGGGGTGACGTGAGCGCTTTAAAAAAATGTGATGCGGAAAAAATGAAATAAAATAAAATAAACGATGGCTAAAAAATATAGTCACAATACTGGGAATAAAAGAAATGCAAGTGGTAATGATACATAAATGATACTGATAAGAAATAGAATAAGGTAATAATATGAAATAAAATAAAAAAATTAACATTTAAAATGTGATAAGATTAGAACTATTTAGATGAAGGTATGTTGGATATTGATACCTCTTGGACTAAGAACGCCAAGGCTGTGGATAAGGCGATTTTCCAAAGCGAGGCGGGTAGTATGATCGCCAGAGCAAGATTTTAATGCTGTGACAGATATGTCATCTTTACCGCTGTGGTCAGGGCTATTAAAATGAAGAGGGATTGGTTTGAGTGTCTTCTTGTCGATATCGGAGAGGTGTTCCCGGGAAACGATCAGCTAGCTTCCTGCCAGTCTCTCCAATGTATGCCTTGCTGCATCGTTTGCAGATAATTGCATAAATTACGTTGCGGGATTCGCAAGTAAAAGGTTCCCTAATTTGAAAAGAACCATTAGGGAAACTGACCGAAGAAGTCTGGACAACGAAAGGACATGTCTTGCAGGTGCTACGTGAGCACTGAGTAGTCCCAAAAGGAAGTGCTGTGTGGATCGGTGGGAGTCGGCTTCGGACAAGTATGTCTTTAAGGTTGCGATCTCGTCTGTAAACTAATCTAGGTTTCTCACTAAAGATAATTTTGGTGTCCGGATCAGAGCGGAGGATGTCCAAATGACGAAAGAATACTTTGGAAGCAACCACATTGTTAGGGTGAAAAAGTCAAGATCAATTTAGGTGCATCATTGGTGGAGTTACGTTTGGTAGGAAAAGCATCTCTCCTGGTGATTGCTAAAACTTTGTTTAGAGCCCCTTGTAGAATGTGTTCCGGATAGAAAACGGGCACGGAAGAATTCAAGAAGTTCAACTGATTTATCAAAGAAGTCAGAATCATCAGAGCACAACCTGCGCAATCGAAGGAGCTGTGAATATGGAATAGAATTTTTACACGGTAGTGGGTGAGAAGACGTATAGAGGAGATAACTGTGAGAATCCGTGGGTTTGTAGTAGGCTGTGGTTTTCAGACACGGAAAATCGATGCTAATCGTGATGTCAAGAAAGTTAACTGAAGTGGTTGAGATCAATGAGGTGAATTTGATAGCCGGATTGAAATTGTTGATGTAATTAATAAATTGGTCAAGCTCAACCATGGACATTTCGGTGATACCAACGCCATCATCTATGTATCTCCTATACACCTCCGGAAACTTGCCCGGGTATGATAAACTGACCTCGTATTCCAGGTGGCCCATAAAGAGGCACGCGTAACTAGGACCCATCTTGGTGCCCATCGCGACCCCACTGATCTGGTCAAAATACTCACCATTGAACTCAAACGAGTTAAGGGTCAGTACCAGTTCGGCAAGGCGTACAAGAACTGAAGTAGGGATGATCGGGTTGGACCTTCTGTCCAAAAAGAACTGGAGTGCTCTAAGACCATCAGAGTGAGGGATTGACGTATAGAGGGAACATACGTCTATCAGGAAAAGATGATAGGTTTTACCGGGAAGTAATCTGATGGATTCGAAAATGTTGAGGGCATGGTTGGTGTCCTTGACAAATGAAGGGAGACTGGTGACAATCGGTTGGAAAATACTATCTAAAAATTCAGAAAGATACACGTGGGACAGGAGCATGCAGATACAATGGGACGTCCAGGGTTGTTGGGCTTATGGATCTTAGGCAGCAAGTACATACACGGTTTGCCAAGTTGGCTGTCAAAAACACGCATATTGTTGGCCTGCTTAGGAAGAGTACCCTGTGAAATAAATGATTGTAACGTGTCCTTGACTTTCTTATTGTTGGAAACTGTGGGGTCGTCCCTTCTTGCGGAATAGAAAACGGGGTTTCTGAGTTGGGTACTGGCTTCCTCAATATAAAGATCTTTCCTCCAAACCACTACAGCGCCCCCTTTGTCAGCTGATTTTATAACAATATCGTTCCTCTTTCTGAGGGAGGACAGTGCCCGCCATTCACCTTTGGAGAGGTTGGATTTACGTAAAGGCCTTTGTTCCAACTGTTGGATAGTATGGAGCGTGTGGCTGATGTATAGATCAAGCGCCTTAGATTTACCAGCAGGAGGAGTCCACTGTGAACGGGATTTGTTGGCCGTTGAAAGAAATGTAGTTTCGTCAATAGGCCCAGTGGGGGCGGGTGGTTGACCCAGTGATGATGTTTCAGGCGTAGACGGCGATAGAAGGAGTGTGCATCCTGGAGGAGAGTGTATTTGTCAGCACGTGGTCTTAGAGGGACAAATTTCAAGCCTTTACTAAGGAGTGAGCGTTCATCATCGGAGAGGGGTAGGTCGGGTGGGATGCAAACAACAAGATTTTGGGCTGAGGCTGGATTAGCAGATGCTTCAAAGGATTGTGGGGGCCGGAGGCAGTTCATTTTATTCTTCTTGCTATTGGTAAGGAAAGAATACCACTCCTGATTGGTTGTGTGAATAGTAGATGTCGTGAAATGATAGTCATTACACATCGGTTTGTAAGGCTGATAACCTGTCTTACCTGTAATCTGCACAAAATTCAAACTTGGACTCGCCCAGAAATATATAGTCCCTTATATATATATATATAGGCCTGTATTGGACAACATTATTATGTCTGCCTTTTCTGGTTACTTTAACTAAACTCCACTTTTAAATGTATTTCTTTTGGGGGCGGGATATATTTACGGAGTTAATTGAGGTTTCTTGGAAACCGATTTACTCCTTGCCCCAGTATACAAGGAACTTCTTTTGTAACCGACGCCTGAATTGTCCTAACTGACGCCATTCTCCTTGCCAGCTTCTCAAGCCTCCAGATGTGTTAATCTGTGCCTGTATACTGTCAATTTTCAGGCAATCTGGAAATGTTTCAGTTCTTACATATGCTTGGGATGTATATTTTTCTGAAGAGCTGGCAGAAGATTCACAGTCTCAACAACATCCAACCACCAATCCTACCACCAGAACCA